CCCACGCGCACGCGCACGCCCACGCCCACGCCCACGCCCACGCCCACGCCCACGCCCACGCCCACGCACACGCACACGCACACGCACACGCACACGCACACGCACACGCACACGCACACGCACACGCACACGCACACGCACACGCACACGCACACGCACACACGCGCGCACACGCGCACACGCACCCACGCACCCGCGCACACGCGCGCACACGCGCGCACGCGCGCGCACACGCGCGCACACGCGCGCACACGCGCGCACACGCGCGCACACGCGCGCACACGCGCGCACACACGCGCACACACGCGCACACACGCGCGCACACACGCGCGCACACGCGCGCACACACACGCGCGCACACACACGCGCGCACACACACGCGCGCACACACACGCGCGCACACGCGCGCACACGCGCGCACACACGCGCACACACGCGCACACACGCGACACGCGACACGCACACGCGCACACGCACACGCGCACACGCACACGCACACGCACACGCACACGCACACGCACACGCACACGCACACGCACACGCACACGCACACGCACACGCACACGCACACGCACACGCACACGCACACGCACACGCACACGCACACGCACACGCACGCGCACGCGCACGCGCACGCACGCGCACGCGCACGCGCACGCGCACGCGCACGCGCACGCGCACGCGCACGCGCACGCACACGCACACGCACACGCACACGCACACGCACACGCACACGCACACGCACACGCACACGCACACGCACACGCACACGCACACGCACACGCACACGCACACGCACACGCACACGCACACGCACACGCACACGCGCACGCACGCGCACGCGCACGCGCACACGCACACGCACACGCACACGCACACGCACACGCACACGCACACGCACACGCACACGCACACGCACACGCACACGCACGCGCACGCGCACGCGCACACGCACACGCGCACGCGCACGCGCACGCGCACGCGCACGCCCACGCCACGCACGCACACGCACACGCCCACGCCCACGCGCACGCGCACGCCCACACACACACACACACACACACACACACACACACACACACACACACACACACACACACACACACACACACACACACACACACACCTCGACTTCTGGGTAGTCGGGCATCCGCATCCTTGAAGCTGGAAGTCGATTTGTGTCACACTTGTTTTCTGGAGCTCGGACCATATTTGGCTCACCCCACTTAGCCGATATGGCTTCCGGGCAAGAGAAGCGCCACCTCTCCGAGGTGGGAACCCTCCTGATCACCTTCAGGACTGGCAAGGGATCGGAGGCGCACATCTTTGTACTTTTCCCGTGTGATGGTCTGTTGTGAAACGTGCACCTTGTGGATGTGTTTGCTCTTCCCGAGTTTCCCGCTAGGATGGCAGAATGCCTGCGATCGAATGGGCAAGCAAAACCAGTGGTTCTCAAGAAATTCATTTGCCCTGCTTTTCATGAACACAATGGAGTTGCTAACATGAAGGGAAGCTCAGACACCCGGCCGAGCTCGTTGCGAAGAGGAAAGGGTGCCAGTATCTCTCTAGGGTTCTGCCTGAAGCTTGTCTTTGAGCCTAGGGTTCCAATGAGCTTGACCATGGACGGTTTTTGGATGTGTGACTCCTGAAGGAGGAATTTAGACAACAAGTGAAAGGTGGTGGGAACCGGCATAGATGGCATAGGAAGACTCAAACAGCAAATTGCCAAACAACAAGCATCTCGAATTTCCTTTCTTGGTTGCTCAATGGACGAACACTACCCAATGCTTTCGACAATGCCACTGCTGGATGACCCACGATTCCGCCTTGATTAGCGAGCGCTTTGAACCCAAGGCGGAGCAATTGCAAAATGCCGCTTCAGAGATTGCTTCTGAGAATCCCTCCTAGCGTACTCCGTAGCGGCACGGCACCCTCCGGGCCCAAAACCGAAAGCCGGCAGTGCAGCTTATGCAGGAAGCGAGGGCGTGGGGACAATGACATCGGAGACTGCCCCATCGACGGTGCCTTGGCGCGACTGCAGCTGATGCAAGGAGGTTTTGGACCGTTCAGAAAACCCTTAACATGATGCCAAAGGACAATCGTGTGTATGTGTAGCATCCTAGAGCCCATTTGTTGGCGAGAAAAGGGCGGTTCAGAGGCCTTTTGAACAGTTGCGGGGGGGGATAGGGAATCCTTCATTTGCAGTGCAGTGTGATGAGCCAGCCCCGCAACGAGGGATGCTGCAGGTTTGTGCCCAGGAAGTCTTCATAGATTTCTTCAAAGGCATAAAGCTTGCTGGTGCTCAGCAGGGAATGAAGGAATGACCATTCTAAACCATCCCTTGTGGTTTTGTTTATATAAGGGAATCCCTGGCTGCATTCCGTGCTTAGCACGAGCAAGAAAGGTGGTGGGGTACTTCAACACCCGATTGAGTTGTTTGTGGTCATAGGAGCAACATGTTAGACATTTTGCCCGTCATATTACGGCTCCTCACTGAGGAAAAGAACATCATTTTGGGGCGTTCTTTGCCAAGGGATGGCGCCACAGGTTTGTGAAAGGGGGCCTTTGGGATGGTTTCAAAGGGAAACCAACTGGCTAATCAAATGGAAAACGGCCATTTCGGGAACAAACTCGATCATGCCTGAAACGAGCATCGAATCCGGGAGACTTGAATTTGCTGGCGATTGCGCGGTCTTGGTCTCCCATTTTTTTTTGGACGTTCAGTCCGTTTTGCTTGCGGATTTCAGAGAGTCAGGAGAGACATTGACCCCCCCTACTGAAGAAAGCTTGTCACAACTGCACTGAGAACCTTCTCAGCAGTGTAGCACAGGGTTTCCTCCATGTCCCTTCTTGGCACCTCCACAGGCTGCACTTTCAATGGACACCACCAAGCTGCAACATTTGTCTGTGGGTCAAACTCAAACCACCATGGGACCACAGGTTTAATCCATGTTTCGATTTACCAGGGTTCCCATTTTGGTACATATTTTTGACCCACTGCCATTTGAAGGGGACATCCAGTGCAGCCCCGATTTCTGGAGGGTGCTCTTTTGGGTTTGTGTTTCCGCGGTTGGGAGCGGAGGCATTGATGAAGACTCCCCTCTGCTGATCGACATCACCAATGCCATCCAGGCAGTGCAAGGTATGAAATGAGCGGTATTAGTTTTGGAGGGTCACCTTTTGGGTCCTTTAACGTAGTTGTCAAACGGGAACCCAAATTTTGAGAAGCATTCTGGGACTTGTTTTAATGCAGCAGAGGAGGAGCCCGCACAGATGATGGCGTCAAGGAAACAAGTTCCCATCATCCTGGCGGGTACCAAAAGACATTCCTCCACAAAGAATGCTCATTTGGGTTCCGCGTTGCTTCAGCAGCGGCCCTTGAACCTGTCCGACAGAAAAGCCTTGGGCTTCCGGCACGGATCTCCAGGAGATGGTCAGGAAGAAGGAGATGCTGCCCTTGCAGAAGGGCGAGAAGCGCCTTGGCGCAACTTTTGGGCGCGATGAAAGTGACGCATGGTGAGGTGCTGTGGTCTCAAGTGCCGGGAAGGGGGCTGCTTTTGTCACTACTTCTGCCAAGAAGCAGTTGTATGCCGTGCATCTAATGTATGTATACGTGCAGGTGCGTGTTGTGTTGCGCGGTCATGTTTGTCTTTTTGTTCGTGCTCGCTTGCTCTCTTGCCCTTGCTCATTTGTTTGTTTGCTTACTTGGTTAATTTTTCAGTTGCTCGCTTGTTTGCCTGTTTGCTTGTTGTCTTGTTTGTTGCTTGCTTGCTTGCTCGCCTGCTTCTTCTTTGTTTCTTTGCTTGATAGTTTTTGCCTTGGGTGTGCCCAATTCAACTTCCGGGTATTTTCAGTCTCATTTTTCTTTTTGATGCTTCATCATTGTTGTTTGAATGACAACGGTGTGGGCCTAAACAGCAGCAGCCGATCCTGTGCCATGTCTCGGAAAACAGACCCAGGAACTCAAGATGCCAATGAGGTTTCCAGATCAAGCAGCGTAGCTCGGTGGCTGCCAGCCATCCGGTCCCTTAGCTTTTCAGCTTTTTAGTTGGTTTAGTGTTGGGTTTCCATTGAACCCACTAGAAGTTCAACCTTTAGCAGGGGATCTGAAAACGGACCGCCCAGTTAGAGCGACAGCTCAGAAAGGGCAGCTCTATTGCGCATTGTACGATGCGTCCCTTCACGTAGGCTCGGCGGGGAGCGGAAGATCGCTGTTCTGGCCAAGACACTGCAGGCATTCGGGAGAGAGTAGGGCTTCGCAGTGTCCTTGAAAAAAACCGATCTTGGGACACCACCCCTTTTTGGGATTGTTTCAAGACACCCGACTTGAAACTGTGTCAATAGCAGATTGACCCTTCCCAAGCCCTCCTAGCCATCCAAAAGGACGCTTTGGTTTTTCAAGCCTTTTAAGGGACAATGCGGAAAGTCTTCCTTGGCATGGGAACCAGTGGGAAAGGGAAATTCATCCACGCACGCTCGCACGCACAACGCAACACAACACAACAAAGCACAACACAACACATCACGACAGCGCAGCACAGGAGCATAGCACAACACGACACGACATCACACAACACTACACACACACACACCACAACACGACACGACACAACACAGCACAACGAGACACAACACACACACACACACACAAAATACACAGACACGTGCACACACACACACACCCACGTGACGTGGTCAACACATGCAATTCCCGTCGTGGACACGGGGAAATCCCGCATTTCCCAAATTGACCATAGAGACTGGATGGTTTGGCTGCCGATTGAATTTCCAGAAAGCCTCAGAAACGGGAGCCGGCTTCGCCGGTTGAAGCTTCGTGGTCCGAGCGCCAGCAGATTCCCCAGGCGATTCCATGGATCCCAGGATCCTTTGGAAGACTTGGTTCCATTTACAGAGGCCTTCTGGGAGCTTCCATGTTAGTCTGAGGGAGTGTTGCTGGAGTCGTGTCAAGCTGCGGTGAGCATAGATACAACATGCTTTGACTCGTCGAGCACTTGATGGCTGCTCATACTCGGGTATGTCTCGTAATGGGGATGCTTGCTTTTTCCTCGCGGTTGCCCTTTGGAAGCACCAAACCCGGCACGGTAGCCAAAACACAAGCCCGCTTCTTAGCATGGAGGCCACTGTCATCTTCCAGATCCATAGTTGTGGGCAGTGAGGCTTTGGCCTTTTTTCTGCGATACCAGAAGAATCCCTCTAAACGCACTGCTTGCTTTCCTTTCCAAGCCGTCCAAAGCCGTCCCAGCGCGGGTCCCCAAAATCGTAGCGGGGTCCGGGTCCAACCATTGGGGTGCGCTGATTCGGAGACCCCGCGCGTTTTGTCGGCTTAGGGGGACCTCCGGGAGATCAGCTTGGAGGGTCAGGAGCTGGGCAAGGCGTGGCCCGGGGCTGGAAATGATGCCCCAATTTGTTCAGAAGAAAGTAAGGATAAGTACGCATACGGGACTGGATGGGTACTGTCTGACTCAAGCGCCCGAAACTCTGAATGGCCAGCTTGGCAAGACTGCTTGAAAGATACGATTTGGCCAATTGAACTGCTGAGGTTGTTCTACCCAAGCTTTGCTGAGCAATGCTGGGGGTGTGGGGGCGGCTCGCAACATCTCGGGCCAAACTGCTCGAATCTTTGCATTAAGCATTTGCCTCAGCTTTCCCAACGCACTCCTGGATTTGTTTGCTGTCGTTGCACGTGCCTCTCCGCAGTTTGTGCCTTGCTTTTGCTCCGCTTGCCTCGTGGCGACGGGCTTGGCGGCGGGGTCAATGGCGGCGGGCCATGGGCTTGGGAGCTCGACGTGCCTGAGCCGGGGGGACGGATTTTGCTTGGGGATGCGTTTTCCAACTCGTTTTCGGAGGGAGTCTTTACTTGTGGGGGGAAGGGGACCCATCCCTTTAGTCGGGTAGGCCATTTGGGTCTGTCCCCAGAAAGGAGATCCCCAACAGTCGGTGATTTATTTCTTGCAATGATGAGGCAGAGATCAGAGTCATGCTACGCCTGACAATTTTTGGCGCCCAATGGCACACAGTCGTCGGGAGAATCAAGTATCTACCTACCTGCCCACCAAACATACATAGATACGCAATGTTGCGTGACTTTACTCCACGTTACGTTTGTTGCGATGCTCTACATTACGTGCATTGCACACATTCCGTTCCATCCCATCCCGTTCCGTTTCATTCCATGATATACATTGACAGTACATCAGATCAGGTCACGTCATGTCATGCGTCCTGCACGACCTACCGCATACGACTTAAGCTACTGAGCTAAGTGGGCGACTGGCCCTGGCACAGCCGGTGGCACACCGTCGTCGTTAAAACGAGCGGCTGGCGTGCAGACAGTGCCCCTCTCGAAACACACAGATCTGTGTCAAAGAGCCTTGCTTGCCTGCTGTGCTGAATCTGCCAGCTCAGTTGGCGACCTGCAAGCGTCCTCCATTATTCCTGATTTGTTCTTGGGAAGGCCCATGAGAAGCTCAAGCTTTGTTTGTGGCAACCCCTGCAGACCAGCGGTGGGCAATCCGGCAAGACGGTTTTCCCGCAGTTGCCAAGCTTTCTGCCAGGTCTACGTGCGCGCCATCTACTGCAACTTTGCGGAGCTGAAGGGCGAAGACATGAAAGAGGACAGTCTGAGGGACTGCCAGGGCAAGCCATGGAGGTAGTGGTGTTCACTCCGAACTGCTAGCCAGGGCTCGCTGACCGTGCGACCCTGGCTGCCCTGAATCCAGGCTTTTGCGATTGATGCCTCTTTTGGTTCTGCCGAAAGATCACAAAAACGGCGAAATGTGCATCTTTTCTCCCACAAGGCTTTACGTGTTCGACCCTCCCAAGCTTGACGGAGCGAACGTGGCATTTGCCCGTGGCTTCGACCGCTGGACTGGTTTGGACTTGGACCGCTGGTTTGGGGGGCCCAGAAGGATTCCCTTGGGAACACCCATTTGGCGTGGCAAGGCACGGCCCAGATTCATCTGGCCACTTTGGGCCAGGAGTGGGCCAAGCAGTGCGAGAAGGCCCGGAAGAAAGGCCAGACGAGGGCAGAGTAGGATCTCCAGGTTGCTGGGTGCTTGCCTTTAACAGGGAGCTACACGCAACATGGTCCCGCCCCTTCAAGTGAAGTGCTCGATCTGCATTCTGTGCATCCAGACTTTACCTGAAGACGCCTTGCCACATAGGGGATCTGTCAGCATTTGTGCAGGACTTATTGGGCTAGGGGGGCTGCACCCTGTTCGTTGGTCTCTTTGGTTTGACAGGGGGTTACTTTGAATGCAAAGGGATGCACCCGAGCTCAAACTGGCACGGGTGGGCCTGCAAGGGAAGGCAGACAGCAACAGCAACTGGGCGTCGAAGCCGTACGCAGGCTTTGGGTTCTGTGACAACCAGCCAACCAGTTCATATTTTAGGCCGGTGAGCAATTCTTGTTCGGAGATGAATCCAACTAACCCATGAGTTCACCCTGAATTCTTGATATGGGGATGGTATTTTTTCAAAGATGAATCCTCAAGTAACCCATGATTCGTTCACCATCGGTTCTTGCTGAAGTTTTCAGTCACCGGCCGCGCTATCGGCCGCATGGCGCCGGAGGCCTGAGGCAGCCACAGAGGAAGTGGTACTTCTGCTGGTACGGCAGCAAGAACGCCCGGGGACCTGGCGAGCCGGCGAGGCGTCGGTTGCTTAAGGATACTTAGGTTTTCCCGTTTTGGCTGCAAAGGGAATCTATCACTACTGGAGATATGGTTCTTTTTTCAGGGGGCGTAAGCAAATGGAGGGTTGGGCTGCTTTTCTTTGGCCTGGATGAAGATTGTAACCAACTAGTGTTTACGTGTAGGTCTTGTTTGGGCTTTCGGTTCATGGCCGTGGTTCATGCTCTCCACTCCGGAACACCCCCGCCCATCCCGCTGATCCCCTTCATCTTGTTGAGCCAGCGAAGTAGGGCGGCGCTTAGGCTCTGCCTGAATGCTGCTGGGTTCTGGAAGGTCTTCTATGCCCTTAGGGTTGTTGTGAGACGATCTCACGTGCCATGTCTCTTCGGGTGACTTCTTTCCAGTGTCCGGATCCCTTCTTGGGGTTGGTTTAAAGGGAAGCCTAAAGGAACATCTCGCTCATTTCCGGGCTCGGAATGTTGAGAATCGCATTCCCATCTCCAGCCAAAGAAACATGCGGCTCGGAGGCCCGGAGATGACTGAAGCCAAAACAGGCCAGAAGTCGGACGTGAAGCCAAAAAGGAAGCCAACGAGGGATGCCAGAACGGGAAGCCAGGACCCCAACATGGCTTGCTGTTCCTTCCAGCCCACCTGAAAAAACAACTGTGCAACATCAACATCCTTCCAAACGCCTAAAGTCCCCAAAGATGGCCCTGCCCCCCAAAAGTGCCCAAATTCTCGGCACATCTGCCCCCAAAAGACCCCAGATCTCCCGCAGCTGGGGTGGTCCCGACCCATTTTCGATGGGTCTGGTCCGTCGGGTCGGGCCGGGTGTCGGGTCCCGAGGAGGCCCTGGACCCGGAGAAGTGGCACTTCCCGGACGGCTTCTTCCCGCTGGCCACCATGACGCAGGTGAATCGGTCCCCGGAGCGCCAGGACGCTTGGGGCTTGGGGCTTGGGGCTTGGGTGGGGGGTGGGGTTGGGGGGTGGGGGGTGGGGTTGGGTGGTGGGTTGGGGGAGGTTCTTGGGAGTGGGGGGTGGAGGAGGTTGAGGCTGGGGGGCTGGTGGGTTTGGACCGGTGGGTTGAGGCTGGGTTGGGGGGGGGATGCAGGGTCCGGGCTGTTTTGTGGTGGGGTTTTTTGTTCTTGGAGCAGGCTACGGATTCTGGTCCTCAAGGTCTGAAAGCCGAAGAATTTCAGTTGGGTTTTGGGTGACGTGTCTCAACCTTTGGCATCCCTCCATGTGTGTCCATTCAAACCATGCCAAAAAGGCAGCTTCCCATCAGACTACCCGTGTCTGCGTCTTGCTTGACAAGCACCAGCTAGTCCGATTCCCGAAAGGCAAGCCACACGCGGGCAAGGAAAACGCCCAGCACGGCTTGAGGGTCCGTTTGGGGAAGACCCCAATGGCTAAGTCGGACTTGTGCGCGCCACAGGGGATTTGCTGTGGCACCCTTTCTGTTCAAAGACAAACGCGCGGTTTCCCACTGGTTGTTTCTTGCGGGATCTTCGCTCTACCGGACCCTGACTTGGGCTAAATTGAGCATTTCATATTTGCAGCTCGCGCAGGACCAGTTTTGCGTGAAGCCGCTCAGTCGCATGTAAGTTGGACGCGGTGCTGGTGTTGAGGTCAGCAATTGACCATGATTTGTTGGGAAACCACTTGGTTGTTCAAGATTGACCCGATGAAAGTCAGCGACGAAGACATCGACAGATGAATTGAAATTGGCACATCACTCGACGCACGCCGATCCAGGAACCTCTCCTGATACAATGTGCCCTTGTTTGGGTGGTTATCGCCGCTTTGGCACGGCCAGTGTCAAGTGAGAGTGAAGTTCAAAAGTCGCGTACAATGAACCATCCCTTCTTGGATGGTTTTAAAGGTGACCTGCAAAGGAAGGACACAAAACCCGGTGGTTTCTCTTTCCTCGTCCGGCCACCTGCGTGGGCCTTCTTTCAGCCCCCTTCTCCAGCGGGCGTCGGGCGGCCGGCGGGCCCCACGCTTCGAGGTACACGGCGGGGGCCAAGGAGACGAAGATCTATCGCCGGGAGCAGGGCAAGGCCCTGGACGCCTGGGTGGAGGGCCTGGACTTGGCCAACCAAGAGCCCCTCACAGAAAAAACGCGGGGAATGGGTCCCGTGCGACAGCCGCGCGGATGTAGGGCGCCAGGGAAAAGAAAGGGACGGGAAACCAGAAGGGAAACAGGGGGGTTTGAAGGGAAACCAAGAGAGGAACATGTTATAACCAGAAAGTGTCAGGAGTTGTTTGGCGGTTGGCGGCCGGAAGGCATGAGGGGAAAAGACACAATGGGTGGGGGGAGGGCGGGGGGGAAGGATTTAGCGCAGGGTATCCATGTTTTTTGAAGTGGAAGCGAGGGGAGAGGTGTTTGACTTGGAGAGCACGAGAGGATGTCTTTTTTGTGGGCCCCAGCATGAGCTTCCCGCATGACTGAACTTGTTAGTTGACTGGAAGGTGCTGAGGTCAGGTCCACATCGCGAAAGCACAACCTCACTGACCAGGGGGAGGGGGGGCAGGGGGGGGAGGGCGGGGCAGCAAAACCCCGCCTCGCTGAAGGTAGCAACTGTTGCCCGGATTGCGCGTGAGCAGCAAAGAGCCAAGGATCCGGGAGAACATGAAGGAGGAAAAAGAGGGAGAGGAGATGAAGGAGAAGCGTGTGAGAGACAGAAGGAGAGCCAGGAAGGATACTGGCTTGTTTGCTCGTTTGTTTGTTTGTCTGTCTGTTTGTCGGTCGGTCTGTTTGTTTGCTTGCTTGCTTGTTTGCTTTCCTGTCCTTGTGACCACCTTCCACGGACGTGAGGGATTTCAGTCGGTGCTTCCAGGGGCATCAGCCATGCGAGCCGCCAGCCGCGAGCGGCGCCCGAAAGCCGAAAGATGTTTCATGCTGGCGTTTCGATTGGATTCATGGGGTTCAACTTTGGTCTCCCACGAAGGTCCTTTGCCGGGAGGGCGGTGGGGGGCGTGGCTTTCAGACTAAAGCTCAGCACAATGTTAAGCTTCAAACACGCAGGACCCAAGCAAAGCCTTTCTTCCCCCCTCGGCAACTTTTCGGCTGGAACTTTGAGGCTAAACAGCTCAAAAGCAGGAACGCACAGGGGGTCCTTCAATGTCCCTTTCAAGGCGGTTTCAACATCAACCTTTCGAGAGGTCAATCTTATTTGAGCCTCGCTTTGGTGATGCTCCAAGGGCGCTATGAGCTCGGTTCCAGGTTCCTTCTAGGACTGGCCGGATACCCCCCTTTCCTTGAGACGGGGGGGCAAATCCGGCCGTGTCCCATCCTTCTGAGCAAAAACACATCTGACTACCCGGGGGTCCGGCTGACAGGAGAAGGAGAAGGCCAAGGCTCGCATGATGCACGGCCAATGGATGCAGAAGACGCTTAACCGCAATAGAAGAACAGGATGTAAAGGAGTTGAGCTCCAAAAAGAAAGAAGTAGGCGGTTCTATTTTTGACCGGAGTCTAAATGCGCTTTTGCCGAGGAATGGCATGCCGGGCAACGAGGAGCAGTGGACGGCCTGGTTCCAGTGGATGAAGTCGGGGCATTTGGAGGACGAGAGCATCCGGGACTTCTACCAGGCGAGGGACCGCTTTCGTGGCAGAAGAAACAACACTGTTCGATTGGAGCGCAAGTCAACGGCCCCTGAGACGTGGCCCAGAAGACACCTGTAGTTCAAAGCGGTCGGTTTTGAATGGAATCTGTGGGCCATTAGAAGGACCCCAAACACCTTCCTTGCCTGTGGCTGAATGTTGCCCGGATATTAATCAACCCCAAGGTATTAAAAGGGTTGTCTTCCCTCCAAAAGTGATGATTTTTCACTAAACCCAGGTAACCCAGGGACGCCCCCCTATTAATGAACAGAGGTTGATGAATATGGGTGTGGCTCAAAATTAAGCAGGAGGGGTTACGCAGGTTTTGGTCCATGTTTCCACTTACCCGGGTTCCAGTGTGGTACCGTTTTTCTTTGAGCCACAGCCATATGGGGTCAACATCATGGCAGGTAGTCGCTCCCTTCCGGCCAGGAGCTCATGAACCCCCCGCAAGGGAAAGGGGCGGGGCGCGGATAGCGCGGGGAGCGCGGGGAGCGCGGGGAGCGCGGGGAGCGCGGAGTGCGCGCGTGGAAAGAGTTGCGGCGGCTTCGCTGGTTTTCGGAGTTCCTCAGAGGGCTAAAGGCAGGGGTAAAACCAGCTTCAAAAGGAGCGAAAAGGCGGGGTGCATGATTCTTTCCGGTGGTGTATGGTGCGTTGCCAGTCCTTTCAGCCGTAGAGTACATAGGTAGCAGCGATGTTGCCCGGTCCTGGAGGCTGACAGTACTCGTTTTGCATTGGTTTGAACTGGGGGACAGTACAGATGTGGTTGCTTCTCCAAGACATCGCCGGCCTGGTCCTGAATTTTCGTTACATTGACTCAGGTTTGTTTCTCAAATTGGTTTCATGGTTGATCTCACACAAGTTGTCAATGGCTAAACCATTCTGAGTTCGAATGGTTTCCGCAAGCAAGAAGGGACGGTTCCGTACTCAACCCTTAGGGTTTTGAATGTCACTCACGTCCCTGGCTCAGCAAACAGGAGCCCCATCCACAAAAAGAGCAGACAGTTTTTGGATCCCTTGCCATATTGGGTAGATCCCACCAGTCCCCTGTCCGCGCAGAAATGATGATTGTGCTTTTTGGGAAGGTCATTGGCGATCCACCAGTCCGCGGAGAATTTGAGGTCCTCGTAAGGAAGAAGTGAGAAAGTAGTCATAGGATGGGCCAGGATGGGAATCCCACCAGACGGTATTGCAGAAGAAGGCCTGATTTCACGTGTTTCCCAGGATCCTGGATGGATAGCATGCGCAGGCGTCAGATTTCAAAGAGGTCCTGGCTATCCAGGACACCAAGTGCGGACTGCGGCTGGTGTCTAAAGTGCGGTTCAGTCTGTGGCAAAACCTTTACCTCCAACCTTTTGGAACATGTTTGTTTCGCAATCAAACTAGTTCAACGTGTACCGTCCAGGCCCCGGGAGCCGCATGTGGAACCGCTCGTGCAACAGCTCGTACGCCTTCCGAAAGTTTCCGGCCCAAGCGCCTGAGAGCCCCCCGTGCGGCCGAAGTTATTGGAAGATGGCAGGCGGGCAGGGGAGAGTCTGAGGTGTGCTGGGACATCGGGGACATTGGGGACATGGGACGTCAACCCCCCGCGTCCTTCCCTGCGAGTTACCAAGAAGACTAGCTAGCCCTTTCCAGCTTGGTAAGCACTTGAAAAGGGAAGCCGAAAAGGAGAAGCTACCCTTGGGGCCCAAAGGTATGTCAGAATACTCTTTCTATGGTTGAGCTCAAAGTGAGCTTATGGCGAGCCGACAAAGCTGGTTTGCGAGACCTTCGAGCGACTCCGAGTTTTTTTCGTTTTCCGCGTTGATGAAGCATCACAAATCACGCAAATCGAAGTTGGAAGGAAAGGGATCCCCTGGGTAGCGCTTGAGTGATTTTAAGAAGGGTAAAGTAATGAGGCCGGTGGCAAACGCTAGGGTGCCGTGTTCCGCGGGGGCTGCTTTTTGCCACTGCCCTGCAAGGGCGGAAAGGCGAACGGATCAACATGTTCAAGGGCCAATGAAAGGACTGCTGAGCTGATGGTTCCATGTAGCTTCTTACGGCAAAACACATAACTTCGGATCTTGAAAACAGCGCCAAACATGATGGCGTTTGGACGTGCTTCTCTAGGGCAAGTAGAAGGCGCTTGCTACCAGCTCTACCTTTCACAGATCACTTGCTACCAACATTTGGCTTTTTGGGATCAGGTGAAAGTGCGCCGCTCCTGAATGACGGACGAGGCGGGGCTGGTACTAGGTACCCCTCCGGAAAAGACGCTACTTGCAGGGGAAAGTGACGTTGGAAACCGGACTTGTAAGCAAGCCAGGCACATATGCTTGATGAAGGCTCGTGCGTGGAAGTGCAGCTGATTGCCATATGTGCTGAAGTGCCTTCTTGCTTGCACAAGCCATCTTATTGGGGCTACAGGTGCTGTAAAAAACAGAGCAACACATGATACATGATCCCCAGATGGAGCCCCTTCTTGTTTGTAGGAAATTTGGGTGGGCTCCACCCATGTCCTCCCCAGACCAATAGTACAAACCATTTTTGCCATGTTGAGACAAACCCATTTGCACATGACACTTTTCCTCCCCCTCCTTGTTGATTGGGGTGGCACCTCTTGGGGCTTAAACAGAGGGACACCAATGGGTCAAGCGGACACCGCCCCTTTTCGTCCTCGCGGGGGCTGGTTCCACCATGTTGAGACAAAGCCCGTCTAAGGTCTCTTAGAAGGCCCCAGTACCCGTTATTTGGGGATGGTGCCAACCAAGATCAGGTCTTTGTGGTGTAGCCATTCCTTGGTGCTTTTTGAGAGTTCTTACATGTCAGGGTTTAGCAACCCTACTTGCACATGCCGGCTTGGCCTGGCCTGGCCTGTTCGCGGTTTGAGAGGCATCTTTTTTGCCCGCTCCGGAGCATGCTGCTCCAGGCCCTCCACCCGGTCGGGATCTTTTTACGCCAGCAACACACCAGCATCATCCCCAGCGCTCAGCCCAGTACTCGTACGCCAAGACGCCAGCATCCCCCGCTGCGGCCCCACATGTTTCTCGGACGCGTCTCGGTAGGCGCCGACCCGGAGGAGTTCAACCCGGGCGCGGCCATCGGAATGCTGGTCGGCGCGGCGCTCGGGCTCGGAACGAGGGACGGGACGGAGGGACGGAGGGACGGAGGCGTCAGGCGCTGGTTTGATGGGGAGAGTAATCTGTATGTAGGCGTGTCATATTTTTTTTGGAAGACCCCCTCCAAAATTGATGGTTTTCCTTTTGGGTTTTCTTTTAAACCACGAAAAATGGGGTACCGTCAAAAGAAAGACGCATATCGACCATCATGGCCATGTAGAACCAACAGTCAATGGGCTTCGGGCGCGGGCTAGTTTATGAGTTTATCGGGGAGTTTAGTTGAAGCTCATGCTGGTGCTCTTTGAAAGCCCTTGGGGTTTAGAAGGGACGGTGGTCGACCTTAGATTGAATTGTTTTTAGACTTCCGGTGTACTTAAAGGTTCCCATTATGGGAACCATGACCACGACCTAGAAAAGCTGGATGATGCTGGATTTCAGATTCACAGAAAGGTCTTCCCGCAAGTTCCCCCATGGCAGCTTGTGACTTAGGAATTCATGGACGAGCGCCACCATATTTGTTTTTTCTTTTTTTTTTCAGGAGTTCACCGTGAAAAAGGTTCTTTCCCCTTTCAGCTTTTAGAGTCCCTAGGATTTACGGTGATCCCTCGGCTCATCGGGATCGGCGTGGCCTTCGCCATCTTCAAGCGCCTCGAATGCGGAGAAGGATGGGGATTGGGCGCGGGGCCCGGGGGGGGTGAGCTTCGTGGAGAAGTGTACCAGGGAGCAAATGAAGTGGGATTGGTGTGTGCCGAAGAGGTAGGGGTTCTTGGCTTTTTGCCGTTGTTTGGTGGTTCAAACTTCATTTTGTTGGGCCAATTTTGGAGCATTGTCCTTTTGGGGTGATGTTCAAAGGTGACGTCTGAGCTGCCTATTTTGTGTCGAGCCCACTCGGGGTAACACGAGCTTGCTATGATGCGTGTCCCTTGGGGGATCTATGAATCTAGGCGTGGCAGTGCACAACACATTGACTGTTGAACCGTGAGCGCCTAGGTGGTTTCCCCAGGCCTGAGCAACGACTTTTTCCGGCTAGGTTTCTCAGCTCCATCTTGGGGAGGGCAGTTGACTGGTACAGATGGCACCCCCCCCCAAGTCCCGGGCCCATGGAGCTGAGCTGGAGGCCGCTTTGCCAGCGGCGAAAAGACGATGTTTCTGCCGTTTTTCTTCTCCGGCAGAACGGGAAAAGCGAGAGATGGCGTGATGTCCTTGGGATGGGCCAAGTTTGTTTGAACCAACAGACAGACCGTGGCCACCTTCAAAGGACCAAAGGAGGGCACTGGGCGTGGTGCCATTGTTTGTCTTTGCAACATGCGTCAGCAAAGCAAAACACGACCTCACGGGCCGTTGCGACCGATTTTGCCCGAAGGTTTGGGAGTTCCCGAGACAGTGGCAGGTTGGGTGGTCAAGTTGGACGACACATTTTTGCCTCAGACACTCCCCCACGGGTTGATTGGTGGATTGCCCATTGGGCTCTGGATATGAACAACTTAGAAACTGGCTGGTCAACTGTAGTTTGGGGCGAACATGGAAACCGTCACCCAAAATTTCCCCTTTTCAATCCGAGGGGGGGGCCCTTTGCTCCCCCCAATGTTACCGTCTTTGGGGGACTTTCCTGTAAGTTTGCTCCACGCTGTTGCTGCAGATGGGGGAGTGGTCCTCGGAATTGACTGGTTCCCTTTGGTCTCCCTTTTGGTTTCAACCAAAAGAAATGACGCCCGCAGCCCGTTGCGCCTTCGACTCCGTCGCCCAGTTGGGGCAGCACCGCGAAGTACCAAGCGCATTTGGCCAGGGTGGGGGACGCGCCTTGGCACGGAAGCCCGGGGGGGTGTCCGGGTGTTTCTCAACATTTTGATTTAGGAACACCTCTTGAAAATGGTTGGCGGACGAAAAGAAACAATGTTAATGATGTCCAGTCCCCACCCAAAATGTGTTGTCTCTTTGGGTTTGCTTTTAAACCATCCAAAAAGGGGTCTTTCATTTTGAGACCGTCAGAAGCCCACGGGTGGATGCAACCCAAACCTGCAGGGCCGGAGCCTCCCTGGCGTATCTTCCGTGTTCGGTGATGAGCAACGGACTGGAGAGGACATGAGGGGCCTACCCAACATCCTCTGTTTTCTCACCAGGCCCAACTGCACATGGGCAGAAGCTCCCGCAACTAGGCTCTTTCCCTTTGGTATCCCTTGACAATAGTCCAAAGGGCACTATCATAAAAAAGACACCCACATGGGCCAGACACATTCTTTTTGGCAAATCAACGAAAAAAGGGGTCCACAGGTAGATTCTTCTTAGAATGAGAGTTCTAGGTGTCTATGACAAGGTGCTTCAAGATGGGAACGCGCAGAATGATTTGTTTCCCCCAGTACACGGGGAAGAGTGGTCCTT